CTCCGGCACCAAGACCTATCTGCGGCCGCTGAGCAGTGCCGTGATCAGCCACAGCCAGTACTTACAGCAGAATCAAGTTCAGACACCCGTCAGTTTGGTGAGTGGACTGGTGTGTTGGCCTGTCGCTCTCCCCCTCGCTCTTCGTATATTGCATAACTCCTCGAGATCAAGGTTATATAAGCGTCTCGTGGCTTCCCCAGGGTGTCCCGAGAACGAGTCGGGGCGATTTTCCGGTCCTCGTGTCGCTCGGGGAAAAAATATAGGTCGCCATCAGTCGTGTCTTTGGGATCAGCTTTGCGCAATAATTGAATGGAAATAAAGACGCGATTCCTTTATTAGATGTCGAGTAGCATCGCTTCTTATCAATTTTTTTTCAAGTCTCGATAGCTTCCAAGTCATGAGTTTTGACAGATGTACTTTTTTTGTATTTTTGTATTTTTTTGCATTTTTTATAACAAATTTTTGTTAATTATTTTGTTGTCTTTTTTTTTGTATTTTTTATAACAAATTTTTGTTAACGATAGTGTTGCTTTGATTATTAACGCAAAGATTAGGGGAATTTGTTATTAAATATTCGAGTCGTACTCTGGAATCGACTTTTAGTTGGCTCGACAGAGAGTGATTGTGAAATAAAATTTGTTGTATCCTTGAAACTTTGTATCAAAATTACAAGACAAAGTATTACATCTGTTTTATCTTTATATCTAATTTGTGTGATATTTTGGTGCAGTCACCAATCGTGCGTAGCTTCCAAACTTCGACAGTCAGTCGTGACATCGATTCCGCTGCGAAGTTTATTGGTGCTGGTGCTGCCACTGTGGGTGTAGCAGGATCTGGTATGTATTTGCAAAAGAATATAATTATATCAATTTTCAGTCAGCATAATTTTGCACAATAGCATGATTGATAGCGTTATAAAATAATAGAATGTGTAAAATAATAGTACACATATTTAACGAATAATTTGAATTGATTATATAAAAATCAATTTGACATGATTTCAATACAATTATTATATAAAATTATATAATTATATAAATTGAATTATATAAATTATATAAATTATATAAATTTAATAAATTATATTTATTAAATTATATAAATTATAAAAATAATAATAAAATTATATAAATATGAATAATTATAGAAATTGAGTATATAAAAATCATTTGACATGATTTGACACAATTTGAATTGATTTTATATAAAAATCTGCAATTTTTATTATGTGATCATTACATGTGTAATTTGAATTTTCAAGTAATTACTTTCACTACATCCAACGCATGCTCTCTGTTAATAACACATTCATATCTTTCCTATAAATATTATAATTTCCAATACCTTCCAAGTAATTGAAAATTTTTGCAATTTTATGTATCTTTTTAAATTTATCAATTTATTTTATATTTATTGTCCTTCAGAAACATGATACATTAACATAATCTAGTATAACTTTTTTTTATATATGAATATGCATGAATAATAAAATGATTGTTTAATTGATAAAAAAATTGTAGAATTAATGTAAATTAATAGCGTGTGTTTATTTTAATGTCTTGTTTAAGTTTGTTGTTTTTAAAGAAATATTCACATGTTATAGGGGTTGGTATTGGTCTGGTTTTTGGATCCTTAATAATTGGCTATGCACGTAATCCCTCCCTGAAACAGCAAGTTTTTAACTATGCAATCCTTGGATTCGCGCTAGCCGAAGCAATGGGCCTCTTTTGCCTGATGGTAGCGTTCCTCATCCTATATGCCTTTTGAACCCGACTCTCTCCTTGGACCAGATCCTCATGGAAGTGAAGTCGTTGGATTTTTTTTCACCTGTCATATTTGTGCAAGATCTATAGAAAAATATTAATTATTCGTTTTACATGATTTTAAAGTCTCTTTAAGTAATGTGCATGTGCATAGATTGTTACGTAAAGCATCATATATATATGTACAGTGTGTGTCGCAAACATCAGTATCAGCAATAAAATCCTTTGACTCGATATGTATTCTGTAATAGTAGACAAATTTCCATTCCAGGTGCTGGTATTGGATCCGTATTCGGTTCGCTGATCATCGGCTACGCCAGGAATCCTTCCCTGAAGCAGCAACTATTCTCGTACGCCATCCTGGGCTTCGCCCTGTCCGAGGCTATGGGTCTCTTCTGTCTTATGATGGCTTTCCTGCTCCTGTTCGCCTTCTAAGCCATCATCGATATCCGCATAAGAAATTGCTGATATAGTTTTAGTGCGTCACTGCCAAGGCAGCGTCGTCTGGCTCGATGGGGAAAGGCGGCGGCTGCCTCTGGTGCGCGGGATGCCATGAAATCATTAGAGAAGCTCAGATTTTCGTGGTTCGGTGGGGTCGCGACGGCGCGGCAATGAACAAGAGTTAACAATTAAGAGCTATTACACATGTAATTCCATGTCATCGTCCGCGGATCGTCTCGGCCCCCTTCCAAGTCTTCAGCTTGTTTGTAATCATTTCATGGCCTACTGTCTCATGTAGCGTATAAACTCACATTGTTATAAAAATAATGGAAATTTCGGTGTAACGAAAAGAAAACGAATAAGACATTATTGAAAGTTAAAAGAAAAGAAACAAAATAGCGACAGCCTCATCCGCATACGCACGTAGGTATTCACACTCCGTTATAATATTCTACGCGAGCTAGAGTACACTTTTCGAAAAAAAAAAAAATCCTCTTGTCACCTTAAAGGGTTCATCATTGTTCTGCCGTCGCGTACGCACGTTGTTAAGGTAACTCTTGACGATAAAACAAAAAAAAAACTGTACAGTGATACCGAATAAACATCTTTGTCGTGAAATGGATTTTTACAAGTATTTGTCTGCACAATCTCCTCTTCTGCCGCCTCTCTAGATTCGAAGACATTTTGTAATTCCGAAAAATAAATTCAATCTGTTCTTATATACACACGATTATTTACATTTTGTATAAAAATATTATTTGTTTGCATAATACATAATAATATATTAATATTAATGTAATTAAATATTAATATTAATATATTAATATATAATATACATAATAATTAATATATAATTTTTTGCATAATACATAATAATATATTAATAGATAATAATATATTAATACATAATAATATATTATACTCTTCAGTATCTAAATATTCTTGAAATATAAAATTTTGTCTCAAAATGCTTTCATGATAGCGGTTGTGTGTTCGCAAAAATGATAATTATAAAAAAGAGAGTATAGCTACAAAACAGTACATCTCATTTTAGCCATAATATATATATATATATATATCATGTATTAAGGAGTAATTTATTTTTAATTAAGATACATCTATACTTAATTATTATATAATTAAATTTGAGCAAGCCGCTAGCTATTCTAAGCAACAAGAGTTATTATTCAATGGTACGTATAAGCAATGTGCGTGTTATATGCGCTTGAAAGATCTGAAAATAAATGAAATTCTTAATTTCTTTTGCTTTATTAATCAAGACCCATAGATATGTACAGCTTTGTAAGAGTTTAAAGATGCTGGTATTATATTTCACAAGTTTGTTGACATACATACTCAATTATATGACTGCAGTTGAATCTTTTACAATGGGTTTACGAAATTGTGATTGTATAACAAAAACTGTATTTAAATGCATTTAATCTAAACTGTATATATGCATGAAATATAATATAACTTACAATGATAAAAACATCATTAAACATTTGAAAAATCATTATAAATATAACAAAACTAATATGTCGAATTAAAGTCATTGATGTAAAAATAGATGTTATATTTACTTCTTACATCAATCCTCACACACACATATAGATGCTTGAATGTGTTTAGAATACATATAATTAGACTTGTATTTTGACTGTTCAAAATAGACTCCTATTTATTAAATTTATTTATTCCCATATATACTTAAAGCAAAAGTTATTCACTCTGATTTTCATAATTTACTAATTTTCTTAATTTTAGCCTCGTTTGACACGCACACACACACACACACAAGTATAGGCATAAATTTGAAGTATATGTACATATGTAAATATATATTTATATTTTATTTAAATATTATAAAATCTATATTATACAAAACTCTATGCTAAAAATCTCCAACTATACTAAAAGAAGATGACATGGAATATCAATAAAAATTAGTATCATGAAAAATTATTTTTAAATAAAAGAGGAAACTGCGAGTATTATACATGTAATCAGGTTTTTTGTATCTTTTTCTTGCTGACAATTTAGCTTCTATAAAGTAATAAATTTATAAATACTTTTTTAACTTAAAAAAAAAGATCTTATGCGTATCATTCATATTATTCAGACTTCTCTCTGCTTTAGGATCTATGAATTAATCTCACAATGTTATGTGTGTGTTGAGAAAATATATATGTATGATATATACAGGGTGTCCCATTTTAATGTCCCATCCCAAATAACTTTCTTATTTTTAATTTTAGAAAAAGATGTTTCAGACAAAAGTTGTATAGTTTCGAGGGGGACATAAGATGGTACCATTGGTTTGATCTTGAAGAGTTATTTGAAGATCACATGAAGGTTACCTTCAATTTCTTAAATGGAACCTACATTTTCTCATTACATATTCTTGTAGCTTATCTCGAGAGCTTTCCAAAACTATAAATAAAATTAAGAAATGATTTCAAGCCTCATAACTTGAAAAATACTTGATGAAAAAATGTTTATTTATAGTGTTTTGGAAAGCTCTCTAGATAAGCTACAAGAATATGCAAATATATATAGGGTGTTCCATTTAAGAAATTCAAAATGATCTTCACGTAACCTACATGTAACTCTTCAAGGTCAAACTAATGGCACCATCTTATGTCCCCCTGGAAACCATACAACTTTTGTCTGAAACATCTTTTTCTAAAATTAAAAATAAGAAAGTTATTTGGGGTGGGACACCCTGTATATGCTAAATTTTGGTACGTGTAACATTAGCGAGAATTCTAAATTTATGTGTGCAATTTAGTTTTCGCAATATATAATTTCTCTATATTAAATCCATGCATTTTTTAACATAAAGAATGAACAATGTACACGTTCAGACTATTATCATATTCCTACATATTTCTTGAATATTTCTTGTAACAGATTAAAGACTTTAAATCTGTATTATGTGTGACTATAATATTTGTATACGTTTAAGAAATATTCCTACATTTCATTTCGACTTGCTGTGTAAAACCTATAGATTCTACTAAATTATTTAGTAGCATTTAATTGTTCTAACAAACTCTCTCGTTCCCTCAGACACGCCCACGCTTTCTCCTGTTCCTTTCTCGTCAAGCTTTCCTTATTCTGCTTGGCTTTGGTCAATTTCTTATAATGTTCCACCACCTCGTTGTCCGCGTTGCTAATTTTCCGTTTCAATGCTTGCCTCTTACTCTCCTCCTGGGCTAGATTGAACAATCTCTTCAACTGTACAACGTTGTGACTGGACAATGCGGAAAGTTCCTGTTGACATCTCTTAATCTCCGCAAGAATCTCATCATCCTCTTGATTCTTTTTCTGCGCATCAGGTTCCAAGATCCCCTGCTCGACCAGTTCCTTGTGCATTCGTAATTCCAAGTTGATGGAATTCTGAATGGTCAGGTCCCTCAAAACGGGCGAGTCCCCATCTCGGAATAATTTATTCTCCGTATTATTATTCCCGACGTACACCTTCTCCTCGAGAAGCGCAGAGACCAATCGCTGGGTGAGCGGTCCAGCGATACCGTTAGTCTTCTTATCGCCTTTGGATATCAAGTGGGACATGTCTGTGCGATTCTTCCTCTTTTCCCTGTTTGGATTCGCCGCGTCCTCCTCCTGCAACAAATCATTGTGCGCCCACATTAAGCTGTAATGACGACCCAGAGGTGGAATCTTCTTAAAGTCGCTTATGTCACTGTGCGTAGCGATCAATTCCTCCAACAATTTAATATCCTCGGGCATGATGTCGGTGCAATAAGGATCCACCGATGCCCAGAACTTATTGGGGGTATCATTTTTCGGTAGAAGCAGCTTTGGGGCATCAGACTTGGATCCCTCTATTCTTCCAATTTCGTGTATGTTCGACGCCACCTGACTGGCTGAACTTCTCACCGCTCTCTGCGTGTAGAGCTTCGTGTACAGAGGTGGCTGACTCTTGGCGTTCACCTCCTTCGGCTTAAATTTCTCCTCCCGCATTTTCTTAAGCAGAGGTACGCTCTTCCCGCTTTTCGACCTCCTGTCTCTGCGCTCCTCTGCCGACGACAAGCTAGCAATCTCGTCTTGAAGAGTACGATGTCGTACGACGACCGCTGACAGGAGCATCTCCAGTTCCAGCTGCAACGTGTCCAGGTCTTCCATGCCCACGCCCTCCTCCGCTGAACGTTTTAGAATGTTGGTGTATCTTGGCAGATGTCGACTATTGTCGACCGTCTTAAAAATTGCCTGGGACGTTGTTGGCTCTGACGTCTCGGAATTCGTGTCGTTATTCACCAGAGAAGACTGCGCAGTCTTGCCAGACTCTCGTACCTTGACAACAGCCTTCTTAGAACTCTGCTTTCCTTTTCCCGACATATTTCAAGCGCAAAAAAGAGAGAGTCAGCGACGAGAGACAATCAAGCTGTCACTGGACAAGGACTCTTACGTGTTAATTAATTTGGCAAGGCTTCAGGAAAATATCATGTTACATCTGTAATTATGATTATTTAATTCAATAATAATTTATCAACAAAATAAATTGTCAAAAAATCCTCAGAAATTATTATCGTCAAATTAGAAGTGCCATCTTAATACTTACCTCGTCTTATTTTGAGATATCAAATATATCTTGGTCGCATATAAATAATAACAAAATTAGGGTAGATTACAGGTTATAATTGCCACCAGTAAAGTATCCCTGTGATACGTTCTACCAATTGCTAGGGGAGCGTCCCGTTTGACACGTTGCGATTGACCACAGCCAATTATATCGACCTGTGCCTAGGGTAACCAGCAACGATTAACCAATCAGAGAGTCCTATTTTGAATTGGCCAATTGGCGACGTGGTCAATCGGGTGCCACCCATTGCTAGCGATAGATTGTGCACCACTCATAAATGTTATGACTGTCGTTACATGTGTACAAGCCTTAAGGCCATTTTAGAGTGTATCATATCAAGGACTAAAAAGATTTTTTTCTTTTTAGTTGAACTAGTTGCAATTCAGAATTTATCTTTTTTATTTCACTTATTGGAAAGAAATATATATATAGTCGTCAATTTATCTAAAAAGAACAAATCTAAAAATTGAAATTTAAAAATAAAAATTGAAATTTGATCAATCGGAAGAAATTTTAATCCCTTTTATTTTGATTATAATAAAATCAAATTAAAAAAAAAATTCAAAAAAAAAACAAAAATAGATATTCAACAAACTTATGTGATAAATATCCAGCTTTTTTCTCACTTTTTACATTCGTCAAAACAAATAATTCTTTTTCACTTGTGAGAAATAAAAGAAAAGATCAAAATATATAATGTGTATATATATATATATATATATATATATATATATATATATATATATATTAGGTGAAGTAAAAAGTTCTGAGCGTTTTTTCGCTTTATTTCGACGATGAAATGAACATAGTTAGGATTATCCGATTTAGATCAAATATGCGCCGTTTTGTTCGATAACTTTTGTCCATTTTGAAGGCAATTTCATAATTCCGCGATTAAAGAAGTCCTCGTCCCTATTCGTAAAAAACTTGACCAGCTCATTTTCACAAGCCTCTCTTGAGGCCAGTTTTGTACTATCAAGAAAATTTTGCAAATGCTTGAAAAGGTGATAATCGCTTGGTGCCAAGTCTGGACTATACGGCGGTTGCAATAGAACCTCCCATCCAAGCTCTCGGAGCTTCTGGCGCGTCGTTAATGATGTGTGTAGCCTGGCGTTGTCTTGATGGAACACAACACTCTTCCTATTGGCCAATTCTGGCCGCTTCTGGTCGATCGCCTGCTTCAATCTGGTCAGTTGTTCACAATAGAGGTCCGAATTGAGTGTTTGGCCCGATGGGAGCAGCTCATAGTGGATGATTCCTTTCCAATCCCACCAAACACACAGCAAAACCTTCTTGGCCGTTAATCCGGGCTTGGCGATCGTTTGGGCCGGCTCACCGCGATTAGACCACGATCTTTTTCGGCTGTTGTTCTCGTATGTGACCCATTTTTCATCACCAGTTACCATCCGCTTCAAAAATGGATCGATTTCGTTACGTTTCAGCAAAGAATCGCAGGCATCAATTCGGTCCAAAAGGTTCTTTTGCGTCAATTCGTGTGGCACCCATACATCGAGCTTCTTCTTGAGACCAGCCTTATGCAAATGGTTCCAAACGGTTTTCTGGCTAATCTTCAGTTCCTGGGCAATGGAATAAGTGCTCACATGCCGGTCCGACTCGACGATTTCCATGATTTTATCGACATTTTCGACGATTGGCCTACCAGAGCGTGCCTCATCTTCGACGTCCATATTACCAGAACGGAATCGTTGGAACCACCGCTTTGCTGTTGCATTCGATACTGTATTGGGTCCATAAACAGCACAAATTTTTTTGGCCGCCTGCTCTGCCTTTTCACCTTGGTCGTAGTGGTACTGAAGAATGTATCGAATTTTCTCTTTTTTTACCTCCATTTTGGAACGCTGTAACACACAACTGGCTTGACACAAAACTGTCATAGAACTTTTTTGAAGCGTAATGTCACCTTTCAATCGTATGACCCGATGCGATGTATACATCGTGAGATATGGCTCATTAAAGACATCTAGCGGAAAACGCTCAGAACTTTTTACTTCACCTAATATGTATATATATATATATATATATATATATATAAAATTATTAAATTATATTTTACTAACTAAAACAGAAAAACTAAATTTTTTTAAACTTAGATAATTTATATAATTGAACATAATTTATATTATCATATGTTTACACTACAAACTGCTGATAAATTATAATTAAATTTATATAACAAGTTGTATGATTTGTAATTATATATCAGTATATACTAAACGCACGCTAGTATTATATCTCAACACAGAGATTCAATATCATTTACATTTGAAATCACTAATATATTTTTAAAACTTATTTAATCTTTTATTAATTTGTATAAGAATATGAAATATTTTTCATTTTTATCATTAAAACAAATTTCTCTATTGCAATTTCAGATGCTATTTAAAAAATTTACTATCGGCATTTAATTAATAACAAATCAAAATAAAGTAGAGAAAAGTTTATCTACAAGTACAAACTTGAATAAACTTTTACACAAATATTGAAAAATTCTTTTATCAATTCTAAAAACGAATACAAGAATTTATTATAAATATATAGTAAAAATTTTTAAGCTTTTATGTTAATTCTTCATTTTCTTACAAGCACAATTTTTTTCAAATTTTTCCGAAATGAAGGAAGAACAGAATTCGGTTCTCCCTTGTAAAAAAATCTTTTCGTTAGTAATAGAATCTTACTCGCTAAGCGATTTTCGACTAGCATAGAATTAAAGTTACATCGAAATTACAGTGCCAAAAAATATTGTAAATGGAGGATTAGAATGAAAATGATAAATTTAATTTAAGAAATTTAATTGAAATTTTGAATATTATGTTAATGTATATTATATTTTTTACAATTATAAAATTGATAAAAGAAATGTCGAGACAAATATAATTTAAGTAAAAAAATGATTGCAATTTGATATGATGTGTCGCTTGAAGATTATATTTAAAATATTATTTAAAGTTCATATATATGTGTGTGTTTATAAAGTCAACAATAACTTAATATAGAAATAACTTAATATAGAGATATAACTTAATATAGAGATTAAAAGACTTGCAAAAAATAATTAATTGGCTGAGAGTTTTAAATATGCATATTTCCAATGAATTTTCCTGCTTCTCTTTTAAATTGCACTTTTTTATAATCATAAATGTATCTTTAAAAATTCCCAAAAATACAAATATCACATAGGCCAATGAGTTATAACATTCCGAGTGCAAATATAAATAACTGATATTAGATGCATTTATATTTTTTCAATTACAATAGGAAAAGATAATAAAATTTATCACATTACACATTATCATGAAATAAATTGTGGATTCGCAAATTTGTGATATTACATATACATGACATATTCATCTAAATTATCTGTGATTGTATCAACAAGAGTACTAGGCTTTCATCTTAATTGCTCATTATAAATAACTGAGTATTCAGGATGACTGTTACATCTCCTAAAGATATTTCACTGCATCATCAGTTTGTATGAAAAGTTGAAAAAGTATTATATTATTTTTTCTATATAACTTTTAAATAATCTTTATAAAAACAGACTTATAAATTCCACATATATATGTATGTATGTATATGTACACACATATATATACACACACACACATTTGTTTAAATGGATTATATGAAGTATGAACGAAATTTTTCTTTATTTTTACTCGCGCGAGTCCAACTAAAGAATAAAACCTTATTCACTTTGAACACTCAGTCATTCATCATGCAGTTTATAATTTATATGCATAGAATAAACAGCTAAAAAGTAGTCCAAATGTATGTTCTCTATGTGGACTTTGAAATATGATTTACCCTTCGGGTGTATAGAAATATGATATATGTAACTGCATTTTATATGCCAAATTTTCATCACACCCAAAAACAATTATATACGTATAAATATAATATACATTTATCTACACAATAGATCTTCTATTTAATTCATATTTTTTTTATCAGAATTTATCTTGCACTTTCTTGTATTTTCTTACACGAAGGCATTTCGAGATTTTTAGCTTTCATATATAAATCATGATCTCCGAAATTACGGGCTTTCCACATCATGGCTTCCTCTGAAAAAGGATAAAATTTAAAGCTTGTTTCAAATCTTTCAAAAAAAAAAAAAAAAAAAAAAAAAGGGAAGGAAGAAGAGAAAATTATAATTATTGTAACGATATTTAAAATATATATATTGGATATACAGGATGTCCCAAAAGTCCCGGACCGGTCGAATATTTCATAAACTATGCACTTTAGAAAGAAATGTTTCAGACAAAAGTTGTGGCTTGAAGGGGATCATCAGATAGTGGCAATGATTTGACCTTGGAGAGTTATTTGAAGGTGATGTAAAGATCATCTTCAATTTCTTAAATGGAACCCCTATTTTTTATTACATATTCGTGTAGCTTATCTCGAGAGCTTCCCAAAACACTATAATAAAGTATTTCTTCATTGAGTACTTTTCGAGTTATGAGGCTGAAATCATTTCTTAATTTTGCATAAACCATAAAATAATATAATTGTTAATTGCAAATTAACATATTTTTAAATTACATATTTTTTCTTAAAAACAACTATGTTTTTTCTTTACACCAATTGATTCCTGTCATTATTTTGTACATGAAAGTATTAAGGTAAGATAATCGAAAAATGAATATTTTACAAGATATTTTACGATTTATGTAAAATTAAGAAATGATTTCAAGCCTCATAATTCGAAAAGTACTTAATGAAAACTAACTTAATTATAGTGTTTTGGAAAGCTCTCGACGTGAGCTACCAGAATATTTAATAAAAAATAGGGAGTTCCATTTAAGAAATTGACGGTGATCTTCACGTGACTTTCAAATGACTCTCCCATATCAAATCATTGCCACTGTCTGATGGTCCCCTTCAAGCCATACAACTTTTGTCTGAAACATTTCTTTCTAAAGTGCATAGTTTATGAAATATTCGACCGGTCCGGGATTTTTGGGACACCCTGTATTTTGATTGTATATATATTGAGAAGGAAAACAAGAAAAGAATTCTATATACATACTGTAATTTTTCTCTCTTGCACAGGCTTGTCTTAAATTATTGAAGTATTCTTCTTCGATTGAATTTTCTAGCCTACGTAAACTGCCTTGATATTCACTATGAAAGTTTTCTTTAACATAATATGGAACATGTTGAATTTGAGTTGTTCTGGCCACAGAATATTTCCTGCAAGTGAGAAGAAGGTCACATGTATGTGTATTTTATTACACAAATTCCCATTTAGATGAAATTGCTATTAATTATTCTTACGAATTTGAATGCAGACTATATACTGGATCAGATATGAAGAAACTACTCATCATAGTTAACAATATTAGTAATAAAACTGGTAACATTTGAAGAAATGTAGTATATCCATTTGCTTGCTGTAAAATGTTATGCGTTGTAAATAAACGAAAAAATTGCTCTAGCAAATAAAATTTCTCTTCTACTTTACCTGAGAATGAGCATGTTGCGCTTGGGCCTCTTGCTGCCTCGTCCATCTCCCACCTGTTCGACGCATATAAAATTCTTGTTGCGGAAAGCCAACGCCAAAGAACATATTAAATAGTTCCTCAGCTGTGATATCAGCTAAAGATATACAGATATTTTAGATGATGTAGGATAGATCGAATTCAGATAAATAGATAGATAATAGGTAATATAGGAGAGTTTTAATCTAGATCCTCTGAGGGGAAGTCGGGGGAATCACAATGCATCTGATAAGCGAGGGATAAGAGAGGTTTGGAAATAATTTTTTTTTTTCAAATAAAAATATTACAATTTATTCAAAAATATATATGTACTTTGTACGAATGTATGTGTTAATATAACAATATATAAAATATGATATAAGGTAATAACATAAAAATATAAAATTTAAAAATTTAATAAAAATTCAATGATAAGATAAGCGAATAAAAAATGAGCATAACAGATTAAATATACAAAATAAATGCAATAATATATAATTTTAACAAAAATATTTAATGTATATTTGGTCCATCGTGCAACTGAAACAAAAACAACATTGCATTAATAAATTTATTTTAATATCTATAATTTAAAAAATATTTACATCAGCCTTCTAAAGTCATAAAACTCCATTTATCCTTCTTCCGCTCTTCTTCCTCGTCCCACTCGTTCCCCTCAATTATCTCTTTCTAGGGCTCCAACCTGAAGAGCCGCAGAAGGTCAAAGATGTTCAACATCCACCCATTGACTTCCTCATATTGGCTACTTCCGGTTGGAGATCTACCAAGAGATAAGAGGAGGACGAATGAAATGAGGACGAGAAGGAAGGAGGATGAATGCAGTTCTATAGACTTAGTCTAATGTAATCTTTTTTTTAAATATTTTATAGATGTTAAAAATAAATTTACTAATGCAATGTTGTTTTTGTTTCAGTTCAGCGACACACTCCGATCCATTATATATTTTTATTATCATTTTATATATTTTTATATTCTTTTTTATTTCTTTTATATTTTTAATCTTTTATGCAATTTTTTATTTTCTGTTATTATTGTATTTTTTAAATTTTATATTTTTATATTATTGTTATTTTGTATCATATTTTACATATTATTATTAACACTCACACGCACTTATAAAAAATGCATACGCACTTTTGAATAAATTGCAGTATTTTTGTTTGGGAAAAAAAAATTCCTCATCTCTCTCATTCTCACATTATCACTTCCCCTCGCTTATCGGATGCATTACCCCTTCCCCGCGTCCACCAGTCACACCCCGTGATGTTTACTTTCCCCCCTCCCCGCCGGTTCCCTCCGCCTAGCACTCTTCTCAGAGGACTTGATTAAAGTTCTTTTATATTTTCTATTTTTTGTCATTTCTTTCTAATAATGTATAAAATAATATAAAATAATATAAAATAATATAATATAATAAAATAATATAAAATAATATAAAATAATATAAAATAATAACGAATAGATAAATAATATAATGAATATTAATATTATAATGATTATAATGATTATAAATATATTAGAATGTAACACAAATAAAAGGACAAAGTTAAAAACGCTACAGAGAGTGATATTTAATCTGAATTTAATTAATATCTTGTTGGTACCTTCAAATCCGCGAGTATAGTTATAATGTGTATGACCTTGACGATGTTGGGCACTTTGCATTCGTTCTTCTTCAGGACCATACAAGTCATATTGTTTTCGCTTCTCCGGATCGATGAGAATAGCGACTGCATTACCAATGGCTGTAAAAAAATTAGACTTCTTATTTATATTTGCTATAATTCTCTATCGCGACTATATCAAGTATATCTTACCTTTAAAAGCTTCAGCCGCTCCTGGTGCTTTATTTTTGTCAGGATGCAATTGAAGGGCTAATTTCTTGTAAGCTTTTTTAATATCACTGTCTGTAGCGTCTTTGCTGACTCCTAAAATCTCGTAATAATCCTTGCATTTTTTTATCCTGAAATCAGTATCCTTGTAAATAAAAGTATGTTTCACTGAACAGAGAATGAATAATAATTAAGTAAACGAAATATAAAGCAATCATGAACAAATATATGTTTCGTGAATGTCGCAATCCGTTTGAGATGTTGAAACAATCTCACCATTGAAGTATCTACCTTTTCACGTGATCCAACTGTTCTTTCGTGTAATCCGAATTAGTCTGGGAATGTGTTCCATCTTTAGTCGCACTCTGGCGTTTTCTAACAGTAGGCTCGGCAGCCTCTGGTTTCTGGTTTTGCTTCGAAAGTATCGCCACTTCCGCCAACAGTTCTATAAATGCATAATCGTGTCGATTACTCCTTCATGACACTTCCCATACAGCACAGAACACTGCAGCAATATTGCTACAATGTTCACAGCAACATTGTAACAATATTGTAACATTGCTGCAATGTTCTGTGCTGTATAGGTTGTTTCATTGTTTTCTGCCAGAAAAGGTTTACAGAAACTGCTTTCCCAAGATAAGGAAAATTAAAAGTAAAAATTGTGTGCGTGAAATAAATCAAGAACTATATAAAATCAACAACTCTCCCCTTGCAGTGCAGACCATTGTTGCTACATTGCAGCAATATTTTTATTACATTGCAGCAATATCGCAGCAATATTGTTATTACATTGCAGCAATATCGCAGCAATATTTTTATTACTTTGCAGCAATATCACAGCAATATTTTTATTACATTTTTTTTACAGCAATATTGTTATTACATTGCAGCAATATCGCAGCAATATTTTTATTACGTTGCAGCAATAATGCAGCAATATCGTTATTACATTGCAGCAATATCCCAGCAATATTTTTATTACATTGCAGCAATATTGTTATTACATTGCAGCAATATTGTTGAGAGCAAGCAACACAAAAAGATCGTCGTCGGACGAATTTAACATTGCTTAATGGTCCTCCTGGAAGTCGCACGTACCCTCAGCCTTCTTCGTCGGATAAAGCCTCTGGGCCTTGCGAATAAACTTCTCGGCCTCCTCGTATTTTCTTTCCCGCATAAACCGCTCGGCGAGTTCCGTGCATCGCTCCGCCTCGTCCTTGTTGCTGTCCATCTTGTCCGTCGTCGGGAACCGAGAAGTCACAGTCTTGTGTTGTATCGCACGACAGGGTGACGGGGCAAAAATGTTAAATAAGTCGCGAGGGAGGGCCGGACTCTCAGCACTCTTGACCGCGGCGTGCGACTCGATCACACGTCACGAGCATCGTTTCTCGTTTCATCGGCCGAGCAGCGAATGATTAAAGGTGCGAGGAGCTGATGAACGTCATCGTAACGTCAATTAATCACCTATACCGCGATATTTCGGCCGAACGAGCATACACGACGGACCAGATGCGCGCGCGCGCGCGCGAACAGCTGGCTGTACCGGGGGGGAAAAACTTTCGCGATCCGCGAAAATTGATTCGACGAATCCGAAAGTTTCGAAACATCGACGCTGAATTGCGTGTTGCATGGTACTTGTTCGACGCGGATTGGTCCAATCGAAGGGCCAATAGGGTTTTTTCCTCTCTAGGAAAATTTTACCATTCCCCGCGTTTTCATGGACGTGAATAATTATATTTTAATGTACTTCATGAATATATATATATATATTTATATGCAAATTATCATATATAATATTTAAATTATCAATATATAAATATACTAATAAATAAATAAATAAATAAATATATACAAGGTGTTTCAGATCATCTGTACCATCCATTTGAAAACTAGAGAAGTGGTTATTTCAAAAAAGTAAAAACATTTTCTTTATAAATCGGGTGCGCTCTATCGAATGGTGATATTTTCAACTTCTGGTTCCGGCCGGAAATAGGCGATTCAGACCGGAAGTGCATTTTCTTAAATGAAACCTCCTATTTTTCATTGCATATTCTTGTAGCTTACCTTGAGAGCTTTTCAAAACACTATAATAAATTATTTTTCCATAAAGTACTTTTCGAGTTATGAGGCTTGAAATCATTTCTTAATTTTACGTAAACCATATTGCTGCAACATTGCAGCAATATTATTAATATTGTTGTAACATTTCAGCAACATTGCAGCAATATTATTAATATTGATGTAACATTGCAGCAACATTAAGATATTAGTCCCGATCTACTATAGATAATTTAAGCCCTAAGGCCCGCTTCCACAACTCGAGTTAATCCGAGTAAATAATACGTTAATACGTTAAACTGGGTCCTGATTGGTCTATTTGCTACTTAAATTCGGATTAACTGGATTATGGAACTGGGCCTAAGTCTTAAGAAATTGACCAATCACAGTCGAGTATTCTCTTCATACTTGACTGTGATTGGTCAATCTTTTAGGTCTAGTTCCACAATCCAGTTAATCAGAGTTTAAGTAGCGAATGGACCAATCAGGACCCAGTTTAACGTATTCAACTCGAGTTGTGGAACCGAGCCTTAAAGCTTGAGATTTAAATTACCCCAAACCCGGCCTTACTATAATGTTCCGTAATGTGCTGTACGGGGAACGACGTCTGTGTCGTCGAATAGAAACCACCACGAGTAGAGCTCGTGCTGGTTGACAAACGCACACACCTTCGTACACTTTATCGAGGCAAGATGGCGAGCAAGGCCTGTTGTTCCGCCTTCTCTCCGGACGGTCAATATTACGCGTATTGCGGCAACGATGGTAAACTGAGGATCTGGGAGACCGCGAGCAGCCGGTTGAGGCACGAGTACATCCCCAATCAGCACTTATCCTCGCCGTGCAGCGTCATAGGATGGGTCCTCGTGAGCCAGCAATCGGCGAGCAACGCATCAGTAAGTCACGCCATGTGCTCCATAAACGAAACCCTCGTTCGCTCTTTTTACGCTTCGTTTGTCGACAAATTTTTATTTCTTCTCTCGACCTCACGATCCTCCCCCGATCCCTATTAACGCTTTTGCGTTGTCCTTTTTCTCTTTTTTTTTATTTTACTCATTGTCTCGTTGAGGTTAGGTTGAAAACGCGCGCTCGCGTATCTCGGGATCTCTAGCGAGTTTCTCGTTGATCTCGTGACCATAATAATTTTTAAATTTCGATAGAAAGGAAAAAAATACTTTGAAAATATTAAATGTATAATAAATAAGTTTTCCACTATTTTTGATGGAATACATTTTTTACTATTTTCAGTGTGTTATTCTTAATATCTATTTATTATACCTGTACAATTTAATTAAAAATAATCTCCATAATTTTTCAACATTTTTTTCTATTTATTATACATGTATAATTTAATTAAAAATAATTCCATAATTTTTCAACATTTTTCTCTATTTTTCAGGCAAGATTCTAGATTGATAGAAAGTTCAATCTTTGTCCCTGTGATGATTTTTTCTTGTTTTTTTGATATTTCCATCAGAATTTTGAAATTTTTCATCAGACAAAGTACGCCGTATTGATTGAAATAAATAATTATTTAAAGGCATTATGTCTAGTGAATTAGGAGCAAAAGACTTCAGCCAAGTTCTAATGACAAACTCTTGATAAATTTTGCCATGAGACCAATACACACACACATGTACAGTTTAATAAAAATTATAAAGTAATCTCTGTAATTTTTCAGCATTTTTCTTTATTTTTCAGGTAAGATTCCAGATTGAGAGAAAGTCTAGTCTTTACCTCTGTAATGAATTCATTTTCACACTTCTTTGATATTTCTAAATTTTAGACAAAGTATCGTATTAATTACAATTGCCTGAAGGCATCATGTCTAGTGAATATGATGGGAGCAAAAGAGTTCAGCAAGTTCTAATAACATACTCTTGAAATTTTGTTACATGAGACCAAGCAAGACAATCAGGTGTGATTTGGACTATGAATTTTGAATCTTATAAAATAGTAATTATTGATCGTTATTATTATTTCATTTAAGAATTTGGAAAGAAAGATAATCTTTAGATAACTCTTTAGAGAAATATCATCCAGTTAAATTTTTATACTTGGTTTCAGGGCAGAATAGATCAACAGGATATTATTGGAACTTGGCTAGATTGATTTGCCTGTCCCAAGTATACTCATTAGACATAGCACTTTTAGGTTTATTTATTTCAATCAATCCATGCGTGCTCTGATAAAAAATTTAGAATATCAAAGAAATAAGAAATTGACTTGAATTTGATGATAAATTTGCAAGTAAACGCCAGACTTTCTAACAATTCAGAATCTATAATTTACTTGAAACCTGGAAAAAATGCTGAAAAATGATGGAGTTACTTTTATGATTAAACTATACGCGTATAATTTATTAATAAATATTGAATTTTATAAAAAATAATGAAAAACTTACTTATACAGTTATTATATACTTCTATCAAGTATTTAATATATGACATATATCTTCCTTGTCTGTTTTTCAGGTAAGATTTCAGATTTAGAGAAAGTCTAGTCTTTACCTCTGTGCTGAATTCATTTTCACACTTCTTTGATATTTCTAAATTTTAGACAAAGTATCGTATTAATTACAATTGCCTGAAGGCATCATGTCTAGTGAATATGATGGCTGGGAGCAAAAGAGTTCAGCAAGTTCTAATAATATACTCTTGATAAATTTTGTCACATGAGACCAAGCAAGACAGTCAGATGTGATTTGGACTATGAATTTTGAATCTTATAAAATAGTAATTATTGATCGTTATTATTATTTCATTTAAGAACTTGGAAAGAAAGATAATCTTTAGATAACTCTTTAGAGAAATATCCAGTTAAATTTTTATACTTGGTTTCAGCGCAGAATAGATCAACAGGATATTATTGGAACTTGGCTAGATTGATTTGCCTGTCCCAAGTATACTCATTAGACATAGCACTTTTAGGTTTATTTATTTCAATCAATCCATGCGTGCTCTGATAAAAAATTTAGAATATCAAAGAAATAAGAAATTGACTTGAATTTGATGATAAATTTGCAAGTAAACGCCAGACTTTCTAACAATTCAGAATCTATAATTTACTTGAAACCTGGAAAAAGTGCTGAAAAATGGAGTTACTTTTATAATTAAACTATACGCGTAAAATTTATTAATAAATATTGAATTTTATAAGAAATAATGAAAAACTTACTTATACAGTTAATATATATTCTATCAAGTATGTGATATATCTTCTATCAAGTATCTAATATATATCTTTAATGTCTCTTTCAAGCCATCGTCGAGGAAAAGACGCAGAAAAAAATCAGTTTCGGAGGATGTCGAGCACAAGCCTGTGGTGGCGATGGGTTCGGCTAGTGGGAAAGTCATGTTGTACGATGTAGCAACCGCTCATGTCAACGTTGTATTGGAGAACGGTCATTCGTCCACAGTTACGGCGATGGCCTGGTCAACGTGCAGCGGACTGATCACTGCCGCCGACGATTGTCACATTGTCGAATGGAATCTACAAGAGAACGGAATCAAGTGTAAATGGAAATCGGGCAAGGCAAAAGTCACAGCTCTGGCAATCCCAGCTAATAGCAAGTCTTTGTTGTCCGCCGAGAGGATAATCAAGTGGTGGAGTTTGACGACGAGACAATTGATTCGCACGTTTACCGGACATGCCAATCAGGTCATATTTCTTCATACGATAAAAGTAGACGACTCGACCTGTTACCTAATCAGCGGTGCTCGCGCGGACGGTTATCTCTCTGTATGGTCGTTAGACAAGGTATATTACATTCAATTTCACTTCCCAATACATATATGACTTGTAACTACTATATAAAATGTTATGGGTCTTTTTTGATTTAATTTTAAGGATTTGATTTGATTTAATTTCAATAAATCGATAAAGATTACTTAGAAGATATTGATTGACTTTACATTTTACATTTTAGCATATTAAATTACTAGTACATAACTCATAGCAGGTCAGTAGTTCTAAAAAAAAGTTCTAGCTAATAGTATTTAATATATAATACTTTGGTTCCTTTCCTATTCTTATTAAGTAATCTCATGCTTAACTCTCAACATAAATTATAAATAAAAGAAAAATAAAAAATCTCAATTCTTCTTTTTAAAAGAAAAACTTTTTTTAGAACTACTGACCTGCTATGAGTTATGTACTATTAATTTAAAATGCTAAAATGTAAAATGTAAAGTCAGTCAATATCTTCTAAGTAATCTTTATTGTATTGATTGTTATTTAATATCCAAAAATAAATATTCTGCTAAAATAATATCCATCTTATCATTTTTATTTTATTATTCATATTTTTAATAGCGTTGTCAATTTTGGCAACGTTATTTACAGTTTAACGCTAGCGAAAAATTTAAATATTTACACAGATCAAAGCTACTAAGTATTTTTTGCTTGTTTAAAACATGTTTTTTTTACTTAAAAACACAAATAAAACAAAAAACATTGTTCTAAACAAAAAAAACAGTGTTTTTTGTTTAAAATAAAAAGATAAATTTTTTGCCAACCCTGATTTTAAGGAGAAAAATTCCTACAAGAGTAACAATGTAGTAAAAGTTTTTGAAATTAAATTGTTGGAATGCATATATATAACAAGAGTTTAATTTTTAAATAATTTTAAACAGAGCTTAGAATTTTAACTTATACAAAAACATAAATTTCACTGCAAAAGTAAAGTAAAAAAAAATTGCAATAAAAACTTAAATCTTTCTTGATATTATATTACAAGGATTTTTATCTCGGATTTAATTGAAGATTTCAATTTTGAATATTATAAAATATGCAAATTTTACAATTAAATTGCTTTTTGACTTTGTTTAGAATAAAAATGACAAAACGTCGATGGCAACATTATCCTTGCAAGACGAAGCTACATCCATTTCGACAATTGTTGTGGAAGAATCGCAACAAGTTGTTATATTGGGTACTACTCGATCGGGTCAAGCGCAATTGTTCAAGTATCAACCAAACGGTCACACGAAACCGTTGAAACCATCTCTAAACATTGCGGTTGCAGCTGATGTCAATCAGAAAGAAACTGTTCAACAGATTCCTATTTTAGCAGGCCATTTAACTGAGGATGAAAAAGTATTGTTGATGTATGGTAGTCACTTGAACTTGACGTTCGAGAAAGTTACGCCCGATTTTTCGGACAAAATACAATGTTTAGTTAGATCGGAAAAGTTGGACACGAAAAAATTAAAAGAAAGGAAAGAAGAGACAGTTTCTAAAGTAAAACCTACCTCGATAGAAGAAGACGTTGAATATCTTGCACCAGGTAACATCTTGGCATATAATTATATTTTCTATTTTTTCTCTCCTCTCTACAGTTTATTATAAAAGTAAACAGTTAATTACCAGTGTTTGCTGGTATCTAGATAAAATTATCTAGATAAAATAATCATCTAGATAAAGAAAAATGGCTCATTTTTATCTTTAACTAGATGAAGAAATATAAAGTATCTTTATCTTAGATGAAAAATATATGTCATCTTATCTAAAAATTGTCTAAGATGACGTTTTCATTATGCAAAAAAGTTTTCCAGACATGCTTCTAAAAATCTATCTAAAGTATCTAAAATATATTTTTTATATTATTATTATTAATATATTATAAATATATTATTATTATATTATTAATATATTATAAATATATTATAAATATAAATTAATAAATAAATATTTATCATATCATTTATATACCTTTTTGCTATTATTTAAATATTCTTTAGGAAAAGAGAAAGAATATGTGTTTATGATTTATTTATAGTCTTCTAAAATAAACAAAAATACCTAAATAATTATATAGATTATCGCAATAATTATCTCAACTTTCATCTAAATTAAGTAAAAGCAAAATCATCTTTATCTCATCTAAGATAAATTTACGGATTTTTCTTTATCTAGATAATTTTGAAATTATCTACAGCAAACACTGTTAATTACAATATGTGAATCAATGAACAAGCATAAAAGATAGCGAATATTATAAAGATAAGAAAAAAATATGGAAATATTTTTGTTACAGGAGTAGGAGTCGCGACATTGAAAAGAAATAGGACCAGTTCAGGTTCTCAATTACTCTTGAAAGATAGATTAGAGAATCTTAGTTTGGATACAGACGGGAACACATCAGGAAGGGTACCGTCGAAGGGAGCCAATACACAATTATTAATGCAAGCATTGAACAGCAAAGATAAAACCATTTTGGCGACGGTGTTGTTCACAAAGAACGAAACTGTAATTCGTAATACCATCGCGAAATTGCCAGTACAAGCAATAGCGCCGTTGCTTAAGGAATTGACCGTTATGTTGCAAGGCAAAACATATGCGTAATTATATTCTGTTATCCTCTATTTTTTTTCCGTATAAATTCTCCAAAATCTTTGTTTTTCGTGAGACCATGTAAAATTTCTATCTAATTTCGCTTCGTTTCTAAATTGAACCGTCTATATTTAGGAGTAAAATTGCGGTGATGTGGTTGCAAGCTTTGATAACAACTCATGCGGCGCACTTGATGTCGCGACCAGACATCGCGGAAGCGTTCAGTCCTATTCTAAGTTTTATCGATGCAAAATTAATGCTCTTGACGGCTGTACAAAGATTAAGAGGTAGAGTTTCCCTAATAACGGGACAAATATCTCAAGCTAACGAGGAACATAATAAGGACATCATGGAGGAGAGCTTGCTCGTTTATCAAGATCCAGGTTAGTTTATTGATAATTCAAAAAAATTTCGTGATTTAAATAAACATTATTACATTAAAAATGTAATGTATATGCAGATTCGTCGGATGAAGGTGCTGACAAAGACGATATTGATTTGAGCAGCGAATCCGACGATAATTGGGAAGAAATGTCGGATCAGGATGTTCAAGATGAGCAAGATGAAGAAGACATCAAAAGCATTAAATCCGAAATCGATGATGTGGATGATGACAATGATTCTATGCATAGTTGAATATTCAATCAAGTTGATTAATTGACAGAATAAATTACTTAATCATGAATTCATTGAAGGCCGCAAACCCACTTCCAACGATTTGCAATTTGCTACAATGTCAAGACAGAAATTCATTTATAATCTTATATGGTGCATATAACTGATATATATTTTTTTGTATATGTATGTCCTTTAATTCTTTATATAAGTATTTTTATATTATATGGACATGTATAAAATTATAAATTGATTTTTGTCACAAATATATATTATAATTTATTTAAAACAAATCTAAAAAATATCATAATTGTGTTTCTTGTCGAAGAATTAAATTGTAATACAAGAATCATTAAAAAAGATGCCTCCAATATTTTGTTGAGAAAAAGGAGATATAAAGTAAAATTAATAAAATGATAAAAATTTTGTTCCAAGAGTGGTATATTGGCCAGAAATGATTTCTCTTGGTAATATTATTCTGTTAAAAATTTTTACTTGTTGGAGCAGTTGTTATTAACAACGTTATATATAAACTTTAATAATAAAAGAAAAAAAAATAAACAGAGTATCGTCTTTTATATTACAATGATTCTTTTCAGTAACAGCTTTGTCTGTCATCCTTGATGAGAACGACTGTAATACTGTGTAATGTAATACTGTATAATGCTGTATAAAATATACTCTTTTTTTCTTGTAGAAACGTTTATTTTTACTGTTATGCGAAATGGATCTAAGAAAAAAGCCAAATTATATATAAAACATACTTTAATAATTTTATAACGATCATCATTGTATACGCAATTTTCCACGATAAATAAAATATGAGTATATTATTTCATGCTTGTATAATTAATAAATAATTAGTATTATCAAGTGTAATGCTTTTATTATAAAATATCTATCGGTTTATTAATAAAGATATATGAATATAACAATAAAAAGAATCAAAGTATTTTTATAAATAAAATTTAGGATTTATAATACGTGAGTCCTTGTATAAGTCGTATTGTTTGTATCAAAGTATCGATTTCTTTTTTTAGAACATATTTACACGTAATGTTTCCTCTGTTTTATATAACTTTCAGATAACTTTCGATAATATTTTGTGATCATAAATCGAATCCGTACCAATAGCGTTTTTCACAGTACGATAAATATAAAAAAAAATTTATTATATTTTGTAAAATTGTGATTATTTGCTATTACTTTTTATCAGGGTTGGATAAGTTTATATTTTTTTTAAACTAAATTAAGTTAAAGTTAATGGGTTAAAAAATTAATTTAGTTATATTAAAAGTTATACAAATAAAAAATTAACTCAAAAGTTATGTTAAGATTAAATTAACGTTAGTTAAGATAAAAGTTAAAATTTTGAAAAGCATTATTTCATTTTATATTAAATTAGATTGTAATTTTAAAATTAGATTACTCTAAATAATAATAATATGACTCATCAAATAAATTTAGGGGGAAAGTTAATAAGTTTATGTGTTTTAAAAATAACTAGTTAAAGTTAAAAGTTAACTCTTTTTAAAATAATTAAGTTGAGTTAAAAATTATTAACTTTTTAACTTTTTTTTTAACTTTTAACTAATCAACTAGTTATTACCCAACCCTGCTTTTTTTTAAATAGAGTTAAAATTTTACTCCTATTTTAATGCTCACAGAAATACATGGAATACTTAAAAAATTTTTTACCAGGTGTCCAGAATTCAAAATCAGATGAGAGATATTAAAATATACTTTTATTAAAAAATTTCTTTGGAAATGAAATCTTGGAGAGGAGTGTATCATTGTGTATTTTATATTATTTTAATTTTTTTTTTCATTTAATATCGTCATCGTTCTAATGATACAATTACGAAAAATGTAGTAGAAAAATATATATCACTCACCTAATCTCGTTTACGTTTTATTCGAACTGTGTGGAGATTACTTGTGTATTATCATGCAAAATTCTGTTATTTACGGAGACTTTAAATCAGCCGACACATAATTATCGAATTTCGACAAGAAGACTCGATAAACTTGATGAACTTGAAGACCGGCCGGTCGAGCGATATAAAATGTCGCGTGTCAAGTATGTGTATTGAGAATATATGTTTATAATGAATTTGCTGAACACATGCTTAAATATTCCGACTTGTAAGAAATAAATACCCTCTCTCAGTGTCTTGTTTATCGATGATTTATTGCAGAATAGTTGAACACCATTTTATAATTAAGTACTTTTCCAAACGGTAATAGAATTTAGCTTCTTATGAAGAAGTAAATATTCAAGATTGTTGATATTTTTATGGAAATCACGTGTTTGTGGATTTTATATTTAGCAGAAATTTTAAATTTTTACAAATCTGTTTGATTATTTTTCCAACTGGTAGTAGAATTTAGCTTCTTATGAAGAAATCAATGATATTCAAACTTGTTGATATTCTTATGTAATTCGTGTTTGCAGATTTATATTTATCAAATTCTAAACTTTTACTTTTACTTTTAGATCTGTTTGACTCGAGATTATTAAACTTTTTCATCTTTTTCATGTTTGTTATTTCCTACATATATTTACTTAATATTGTTTCTTTAAAAAAAATTGTGCATAATTATTGATGTACGAATTGTATGATTTGTTGTATTTTTGTGATTATTATACAAATAATATAAATATTAATAATATAAATATTAATATAATTATATAAATAATTATATAAATATAATATAATATTAATATAAATATAATATAATATAATATAATATAATATAATATAATATAATATAATATAAATATAATATATATAAATATAATATAATATAAATATAATATAATATAAATAATAAAATATAAATATTAGACAGAGAAATGTAGTAAATAATTATTCTCTCAGATATTCTTAGATTTTTATCTCGCATTAAAACTATTTTTTACCGAAAATTTCTAATATTTTTGTAATCTTGATTAGCTTAATTAGCAATATACAACTTAAAAAGAATAAGAATATTGTATGATTTTTGAGATTCGTTAAAGAAAAAGAGCAATTTCCTTTACCCATTAACTAATAATTTATTAATAATTGATATTATTATTTTTTAAATAAATAATTAACACTTTTTGTAATTAAAATGATTTCTCCATCTAATATTATATATTATTTATATACATGTACATAATATATATTACATTTTAGATTAAAATTAATGTAACTGATTAATTTAATTTTTTATTTAATCTTAAATTAAGAATAACGTAATTTGAATGAGTAAAAAAATTTTATATTATCGAAATTAATCCTGAATTAAAAATTCTAATAAAGTTTGCTTTAAATTGCATAAAGAATAAAATTATATATTAGCATTTCTAAAGCATAATTTATAAAATTATAGATTTTTAAGAGCTATAAAAGATTTATCGATTGCATATTGTCAAGAAAAATAAAGATTTGCGAGAGAATGTGTAAGAAGGAAAAGGATGAGCCTGAAATATGCTTTATATATCTGAATGATAAAGACCATTACTATTGTGAGGTCGAGAGAGCGATTTCGTTTCTTTTATTATTAACATAATCATGTTGTTGTAGGAATTTCACCCAAGAAAATAGGTATCGTCCTAATCTACCGTTATCATATTAGACGCCTACAAAGCAAAACAAAGACACGAAAAATATTGAGATAACGAAAAGCAAACATGGCATGAAGATGAAGCGATTTTTGTTGTATATTTTTGATTGATATAATTTTTATATGATTACATGAGGGGCGATGTAGTCATCGTGTATAATTGTATGCATTATTTAATCACAAAATTATAAAATTTAAATTGCGATAGGCATTTAAAATGATTGGATATTTAAGAAGAAAAAAAAAAAAAAAAAAAAAGAAGGATTTCACACGTCTAGAAAATTTTTCCTCTTAAATCACCTTTTGATTGAAATTCTGTAAAAATCAATTATTGCTGTAATATGATAAATGCTTAATCTTCATTCAATAATAAATAGATTTTGATCAAGCAGAATTTCATTCGATTCAATACATGTCAAAATATTAAATGGAAAAAGTACATGAATTATTTTTTTTTATATAAAATTTTCAGTTTCAAGAATTGAAACAAAATTTCAATTAAAATATCTGTGGATGCCATTTCTCATTTTGTGAGATGTTGTTGTCTTCTGTGACGATGATGTTTGTGGATCATTTTAATTGAATTGCTAAACATCATATAATAAAAATTTTCAATGATCTCTTACTATTGCGTCAAGAGCGAGAGATGATTTGATTTTCTCATTGATTTTGTAACGAACTGTCCAATTCTCCGATTACTGTCGCAAGCAAAAGTCTGATCAGTCTGATCAGAACGTGATACACAAAGATAAAGAGCGAGAAAACAGACAAAACTTGGGCAGGTCTGGACAGGTCGCGACTTCGGGTCAGCTGATTATGGCGAAAAAACAATGTTACCGGTATAAAAGCCGGCAACAATCCAATCATCAGCTACAATTCTCCTCTGTCGACTCGCGAAGGTAGCTGAGACTTGCTGAGACTTGAAGACATCGAAGATTAAGCACGATGCTGAAGGAGCTCTTGTTGTTAGCGCTCATGGCGCTATGCACATCGAAGGGGTTGCACATCACCGGCAAAACCGCCGACCTGGACTTCCTCCACAAGCAGAAGAAGCTCTACGAGCTGCTGTTCTTCGTTAAGCAAAACATCTTCACCGATATGGAATTCCATAAGATTGGCCGCGACTACAACATAGAGAGCAACATCGACTTGTACGATGACAAGGTACCTACCCAGCAAACACCAAGTAACATTTATATCCCATCATATATATAGCATCCTATGTCCAAAAGACATTAACAGGACAACCTGAATATGTCTAATCGCCCAAAGATATCTTCTGGATACCTTCTGGACATCTTTTGGATATGCATGCTATGTGGGATAACTGTTTTAGTTGTAATTTCCTACTCAACAATATAACTGTTACATGTTACAGTTGTGGGAAATTACAACTAACAGTTATATAACTGTCATTTGGTGTTTGCTGGATACCTATAGGCCATTGTTGTTACATTGCAGCAATATTGCAGCAACATCGCAATATTTGTATGGGCAAGCTGGAAGAAGGTATCCAAACTACCCAGCAAACCCCTATAACAGTTATATAACTGACAAAAGACTGAAGGATCTCAATCCCATGATGTCCTTTCTTCTTCGAATTTTTATATACTTGCGAGTTGTTCACTAATCTCTTTCCATTTCTTCCGCAGTTGAACGTCCAGGATTTCCTGCACCTGCACAAAAGCGGCGTGCTTAGTCGCAATGCCATCTTCTCGCCATATTACGAGGAACACCGCGAGGAGGTGAAGATAGTCTTCAAGCTTTTCTTCAGCGCTAAAGACTTCCAGACTTTCTACAAGACCGCGTGCTGGGCGCGTCTCCACCTTAACGATGGCGTCTTTACATCCGCCTTCACCACCGCTGTCTTCTATCGTCCTGACTGCAAGCACATGAAGTTGCCTGCTCCCTATGAAATATATCCCAATTTGTTCTTCGACAACAACGTAATCCAGCGAGCTCGTGATATCAAGATGATGCACGGTAAGTCATATCACGATCCTATAAAAGCGTTAATTAACATTAAATTAATGAAACTAGCGTACAAGTGTCTTCTTTGTGCAAGCAGGAGTTAGGCCCACCAATGTGGATAACGGCGACAGCTACGTGATCCACGCCAACTACTCTGGAAACCTGGTCAGACCCTATCTCGACGATTACAAATTGGACTATTTTATGGAGGACGTTGGGCTGAACGCTTATTACTATTACGTCCGCCAAGTGATGCCCTTCTGGTTCAGCGTGAAGAATTTCGAGATCCCGGCCCAATTCCGAGGTCAGTTTTATTATTTCAAGCACAAACAGCTGCTGAATCGCTACTATTTGGAACGCATCTCCAATGACTTGGGCGATATCGAGGACTTTGACTGGAACAAACCCTTCTATCCGGGCTTCCATTCGATCCTCACGTACAACAATGGAATGGTCATACCGCAACGCTCTCGCTACACTGCCGTACCATTTTATAAATACAAACATCTGAAGGTGTCGTCACTTCGTTCGTTATTTCTGCGCTACGATTATTTTATTTCTTTCCTTCATTCGTAAATTTGTCCCAAACAGGATATCGATGTTCTGGAGAAGCGCATCATGGACGCCGTCGATCTCGGTTTTGTTCACGACAAGGACGGTAAGCAAGTCAACATCTACACTCCCGAGGGTTTGAGCATCCTCGCGAATCTGATCGAAGGCAACGTGGATTCGTGCAACCGACGCTTCTATGGAATGTACGATGCTCTGACCCGCGACATCCTCGGCTTCAACTTTGACTACAAAAATAAGAACAAGGTAGTCCCGAGTGCTCTCCAATGCTACAGCACCAGCGTGAGAGATCCGGCATTCTATCGGCTAACCAAGAGGATTATGGGGTACTTCTTCAGGTTCGTACGCGTGCTTTCTTCTTCATTTCCCTGAAATCACATAAAGGATTCTTAATTAACCCAGCAAACGCTAAATAACAGTTATATAACTGTTAGTTATAATTTCCCACTCAGCAATATAACTGTCACGTGTTATGTAACAGTTATATAACCGTTATGTAATAGTTATATAAATGTTGCTTGGTGTTTGCCGGGAACCCAGACAGCACAAAGAGGCCAAAAGATGTCTTAAGGATGTCTAGAGGACTTTAAGACGTCTTTAAGTCGTCTTTTAGATGTCTCTTGGACATTATCTCTCTCTTTTTCGCAGATACAAGAAAAATGTGCCGCACCATACCCAGGATGAGTTGATCTTCCCAGGCGTCAGGTTCGAATCCGTCAATGTCGACAAGCTGGTGACTTACTTTGACAATTGCGATACGGTCATCAACAATGCTCTTACCGTGGAGAGCTTCCAGGAGGGAATGAGATTCCGCGTCAAAGCTCGCCGTTACTGCCTCAATCACAAGCCGTTCACCTATCGCTTCACCGTCAACAGTGACAAGGAGACCAGAGCCGTGCTCAAGATCTTCCTCGGGCCCGCTTTCGACAACATCAGGGGAAATGATGTGTCGCAGCTTCGCGAGTTCTACAAATACTTCTTCGAAATGGATCACTTTGAAGTGACGCGTAAGTCTTGGTACAACTTAACGACTTCTTCTTCCTCTTCGTTCTATTTTTTTTTTCACGCTCGCTCTTTCAGTGAGACAAGGCACGAACACCATCGAGCGTCACAGCTCAGACTCGGTCTTCACCATGCCCGACTTGGTGTCCAGCGACACGTTCTACAAGCAGTTGGAGAGGGCTATGAGTGGCAGCGCGCCGTTCACCTACGTCGAGAAGTTCTTTACTCTACCCGAGCGCCTGGTTCTGCCCAAGGGCAAGCCTGAAGGGATGCGTTTCAAGATGTTCTTCTACCTGAGCAAGCTCGACGGCAGCAACGTCAGAAGCGTAGAGTTGCCAATCTTCGGCAAGCTGACGATGGATGAGAAACCGCTCGACTTCCCGCTCGACAAACCGATGCATCCGTGGAAGTTCTTCACGCCAAACATGTTCATGAAGGACGTGTACATCTATCATATACCGGGGAATACGGTAAACGAGAATAGGGTGACCGAGAATACGATAACCGAGAATTGGATGAATGAGAATTGGGTGAACGAGGATAGGCTGAACGGGGATACGGTGAACAAGAATTGGCTGAAAGAGCATAGGGTGAACGAGGATACGATAAACGAGAATTGGTTGAAAGAGAATAGGATGAAGGATACGATGGACGAGAATACGATGAACCTTTAAGTTACTGAATTAAGTTACCTTGAAGGAAATTTTAGGGTTATTATATAGTTGCCAATTGGAATTATATTGTATCACGCGAATGTGGTACGTGAATCAAAACGTTTCTTTCAATAAAGCATGCTGAGAAAACTATGTGTTCCGTGAGGAAAGATATTCAAATTTATGCGAATCCGTCTCTCCTCTCCTTGTGCTTTGAACTCCAAATAATATGCGTACTTTACAAATATCTTGCGAAAATAACGATAAATAGCGATAAAAATCTTGCTTAAATTTCTTATATTAATTTTCCTTATTATCTTTATATATATTTAATTACGAATTTAATAATTTTCATTATCAATTATACGTTGCATATTATAATATTTGGTATCTTTGACAAAAGTGTCTTATATAAAAGTTTAATTTAAATTTTATTATATATTATATATAATTTATTATATATAATTTATTATATATAATTTATTATATATAATTTTATTAAATTTTAATTTAAATTTTATTAGAATAATTTTATTAAATTTTTAAACTTAATAAAATTATTCTAATAAAATTTAATTACTAATTTAATAATTTTAATTATCAATTATATGTTGCATATTATAATATTTGGTATCTTTGACAAAAGTGTCTTATATAAAAGTTTAATTTAAATTTTATTCTATATATTATTTTATTAAATTTTAATTTAAATTTTATTAAAATAATTTTATTAAATTTTTAAATTTTGAAAATATATATTGAAAAGAATTTATATGTCATTTTTGGAAATTAAATGATTATGAAAAAAATAATAATATTTAGCGGATTCAATAATTAGGCAATGTGTGTGTATGTGTTACTAGAATTTTATATATTATATATGAAAATCTGGTAATACGTTAAAATATAGAATAAATTCACATTAAAAACAATGACAGCGATGATTTAATATTTGACAAGTTTAATACTTAAAGAATATTATTTTGTTGTAATAAGTGACGGTGGTAGTAGATGATGTATAATTAATATGTAATATTAATAATCGAGAGGGAATAAACCGACAGAATCACACTATTATATATAATGTGTCTCTAAGTTTCATACATAATTTTATATATTAATTGTATATACAGGATGTCCCAGTTATCTTCCGTCATCTTTCAAAGACAGATTCCTGGGATCATCTGAAGACGATTTTTCCTCAACGAAAATGTCGAGACATTAATAATTTTCGAATTATAAGTGATTGGAAATAAGGGGTTTTTCGTAAACTAAGCTTCGTAGAAATAAAATATTAACAAAACCACATTCTTCGATTAATTTTAAATAGAGTTTACTTTGGTTGAGTTTTAATTTAAGACTTAATTGCAAAGATATATGATGACAAAAATCGAGAACATGCAAGAAATGATGGCCTTCATTGACATTTTCGCTGAGGAAAAATCGTCTTCAAATGATCCCAGGAATCTATCTTTGAAAGATGACGGAAGATAACTGGGACATCCTATATATTTATATAATTTTATTTTTTATTATAATTTTGTTTTTTATTATATAATTATATTGATTAATTATTAAAATATTATTAAAATTATATTAATTAAATGAGCCGTTTACAGTGTGACGTTGTCGTCCCGACGTGCGTCTATCCGCCCCAAAGAAATCTTTACAGGAGCCGTATCGAAATCCCCGGAGAGGCGAGCCATTATTATATTTTACGTCGTTTTTAATTTTTTTTTGCATTTTTGTTGTATTATACTATATGTCGGGCATCCCGCCGAACCTCTTGGAAGAGAAACAAGAGGAATTTCCGCGATTGACGACCGTGACCAACGTTCTAAACGAAAGAGGAGACAACGTCCGAAGAGCAGGACAGTCAAGTCAAGGGTGGAATTCACTCCAAAGACCAGCGGAGTAAGGTTGCACGAGATATCAAGTTTAGTCTTGATATTGTCTTGTCTTGTTTTGAATTTCAAGACAAGATTTTTAATTAGTTATCAAGACAATATCAAGACTAAGACTGTCAAGATTATTAGTCTTGTCAAGATTATTGGTTCCCAAAAAAACTAAAATATTTATATTTGTAAATGAAAAAAATATCACTATATACGATTTTAAAAAAATTTTATCCAATAAAAACATTTATATTCATAAATTTAAAAACATTTAATATTAATATAATATAACATTTTTATAAATTAGAAATCAAACTCGCAAATTTTAGACATTATAAAGAGCATTTCACCCAGGAATTGATGCACATTAGTGCTTTTAAAGATTTACTTTGTAATCTGGTTCTATTTTTTGACATAGTCAGAGTTCCTATTGAGAAAAGTCTTTCTACTGGCACGGACGAGATAATTGAACTTAAAATGTCTCGAGCCATTTTTGACAATGTGGGATAAATATGAACCTGATTTTTTTACCACTCCAAAATATTTATATCTGCACATTCCCTTGGAGCCTATAAATAGTTATTAATTTCTGGTTTCCATGAAACAGTAAATGTTTTTTTATATAAATAGACGGCATTTATATCGATTACATAGTAATAATTATAATTAAAATATAATACAATAGTAATAATTACTTCAAATTATATTACAAAAATTATGTTAAATATTATTTAAATAATTTTCTAATATTAGATGAAAAATTAATAAAATCGAGACAAGACAATACAAGACAAGATTTTTGCTACCAATATTCACTCAAGATCAAGATAAGATTTAAATTTTTGAAAATTTTCAATACCAATACAATGTTTTTACGAATTTTTATTGTCTTGTCTTGGGTCTTGTGCAACTCTAGAGCCCGGCCAGCGCTATCCTCAGAGGATGGAGGATATACAGCCTTCAGCGAAAATCGGGCTGTAGAATTTCAAATTATGATATCGATACGGCGTTTTCGCGAAGCGCAAGGATCCCTTGCGTGTCGCGGTGTGATTGGCCACAAATTCGCGCACCCCTGAGCGCAGAAATTGACGCCGCTATCGATCCTGGATCGCGAAATCCAGGGACGCTCTCTGATACGGGCGCTCGTCGCATACAGTCGGCTTTGCATTGTCATCAGTGCAGTTTTCGGGAGAGTTGCCGCTATCAAGATCAGCGGCAACTCAAGAAGACGAAATCATCGACGAGGATCAACCCCGGACACGGGAGCGAATATCGGTGAGTTTGCTTATTCAGGTTTCGCTATTTTTTAAGCCACGTACGCGATTCTGTCCGAAGACGGGCTCTGTCGGCGTCGCCATTTTGTCGCTTGGGCTTTGTACCACCGAGCTTTTGATTTTCGCGTATTTCGGGTGACCGGAGACGAGCGATCGAGGTATCAAGGACGACCGCCTTTATCTAACGATGGCCTTTATTAATTAATATAATTAATAAGGTACGTTTGTCTCTTCTCCGGGATTTGGGGTGTCTTAACACGCGACCGGCTCTCGTATATCCGTCACGTGTGCGATAAATTGCGGAGAATTCCAGGTAGAAATAAAACTCATAATGACATCACCTAAAAGTCATTTTAGAAAAATCATAATGATTTCACGTACTTTTGGCAATATTTTGGTGATATTTTGATTAACTTATTTTTGATATTAAACAATTCTAGCAAACTCTCTGTTGGAAAATATATATACTTCGCGTATGAAATCTTAAGAATCATAATAATATCATTTTTTATATATATTACGCAATTACTTGTTTATTTAATTATTCATGTATATTTTAATTATATTTAAGCAATATAATCTTTTGAAAATTACAATTTGAAATACAGGGTGTCCCAAGACTCATAATCAATTTTTCAAAGACAGATTCCTCGGATTATTTGCAGATGATTTTTCCTCAGCAAAAATGTCGATGAAGGCCATCATTTTTTGCGTGTTCTCGATTTTTGTCATCATATATCTTTGCAATTAAGCCTTAAATTAAAACTCAACCAAAGTAAACTCTATTTAGAATTAATCGAAGAATGTTGTTTTGTGGATATTTTATTTCTACAAAGCTTAGTTTACGAAAAACTCCTTATTTCCAATCACTTATAATTTGAAAATTATTAGTGCCTCGACATTTTCGTTGAGGAAAAATTGTCTTCAGATGATCCCAGGAATCTGTCTTTGAAAGATTGATTATGAGTTTCGGGACACTCTGTATAATGCGATTATTGAACTTAAAAATTTATTATTCTTTTTATCATCTTTAACTCATTTTTTAACTCATTTTTGTTTGGGTAACTTTTAAATGATAAATAAAATCATGATGACCTCATGAGTTTCGTGTTTTACCTGGGCATATTACTGTCGATTATAATAGCCAAATATTACAGGGAAAAGGTCAGTACGATAGATTAGCGCTTTCTCGGGTTATCGATTTTGTGCAAACATTCGACCGAATTGATTTGTGATTATTATCGCTGTCGATTTGACCTGTTATATTCATTTCGTTATTTCAAATTTCCGTATTGTGAATATTCTTTCTTGCTTTGATTCGTTATTTACTTTATTTTTATATTATTTTCTTTTTAGTAAATCTGTTATATTTTTCTTTATTAAGTTGTAATTTATTTGAGTGTTAGCCTTTCGGGACTGTTAAATTCCGTTATGTTTGCCGAATTTCGAAATTGTCTAAATCTCGCATAGTCAATCAACTTTTTCCAAGATCTCCTCTCGAAGGAGGAATATTATAAAAATTAAATTGAAAAAGACGTCGCAACAGGTTAATCCACTTTTTGAATTTTTTTTTTAAATTTTAATGTCAAAGCACGTGATTGATTAATAAAAAATTCAAAAAGTAGAGTTAATCATTTTAGCCTGTGAATGGTTCAATTATATATTACTTACATATATATATTTATATTTTTTTTCAGATTGTATTACATAATAAAAGGCATTAAAGGGACACATAACGCTTTGTAATGTTCCAGTATTATTAATTATATATAGCGATCCATCTCACCTTTACATCAGTATAATTTTCTTTACGAAAAGATAAAAAAAATATTTATTCTTAAAATAAAACATCTTAATAGCAAGTCTGAGAAATAAATTTTTACATTTTTGCAAAAAGGAAAAAGAATGTGTCATAAGAATAAATTGAATTTAATATGAATAATGATATATTTAAGAATATTTAAAACACACATATTTCTTATATTTAAAATACATAATTTCTCCATACATTTGATTTAAACTTTTATTAATAAAATTGCTTAATAAAATGATATTAATATTAATAAACAGTTAATTAATTGATGTATTAAAATTAAAACTTGAACTTATATAAACATACATATTCTTTCTCTTTTTTTCTTCTTTTACTTTTTCATCCTTTATAGCAGTAAAAAATTAAATTGATGCAAATCTTTCACAGTAGAAATTTTCGATATTATCGCTTGCATAACTTTTATCATTTAATGATAAATATCTTTATTAAAAATTTCATAGAATGAATTTTTTTATAGGTAAATATATGCATATATTTTTATCTCCTTCACTAAATTTTAAATAAATTTGGCAGAATTGATGTAAAAAACAAGATTAAAACATGTTTTCTTCAGACATATGCGTGCATACATGCACACAAATACATACATGTAGCAGATAAAATGCCTTATATATATGTTTTCTTTTTCTTAATCTGTTGGAAGCGTCTCAAAAATTGTACGGAGACTGTTACATTTAATATCTTATATCTTCAATATTTTATGTATATGAATTTTTAATAATTCGGATGTTTAATTTCTTTTACATATGTAAACTTTTAATAATCCTGATTAATATTTAATTTCTTTTATATAATAAATTAATATTAATATATAATAGTATTTATATAAAGATAGAAATATAAATACAACAGAAATTTAAATATCTTTTTTTTCTTGACTGCTTTCTTTTTTATTATTTTATCGAATTATTTAATCTCTCTCTCTCTTTCTTTCTATTCGCACAAATAATATATTATATAATCATTAGGTGAGAGTTTATCAAAGTCGTAGTTAATCGCAAAAAGCCGAGTTGTATTTGTACCAAATCCGTATATGCTATCGCATTTGGTTATATTGCTATCGGTCATATTTGCTATCGTATTGTGCAAAAGTCTGTCCATAATTAAAATGATTCTTTTATTTATTCTTTTAATGATTATTGCAATGATTATTGGTTATTAATACGAATGTATTCATATTTATTATCTTTTATTGTGTGATTTTTAACATAAATCATTCTTAAATGCTTGAAGAAATATCACTGATACAAAATCAATGCCTCCATTAACTTTGTGTTGCAATTTCTGTTATTTTCATGCAATTTTTTTATCTGCATAAATACTGCTCGAAAACTTTTACATAACAATAATATATTTTAAAGCTTTTATTCTTATAAGTAATTATTATTTTTTTAATTGAGAAAATTTATTAGACTGTAATGTTTTAACTTGTTTTTAAAAAATTATACTAAAATTTCGGCATTAATTATCTCAATATACAATCATTGTAATTTATCTTTCTGTTTTGTTCAATAAAAAAACTTTAATCCATATCTGCTAAAAACACCCGAGAAAAGTTAAAGCATCTCAACATACTTGAAAGAGATACTTCTAAAAAAACGTGAATTATTTTCGAATAAAACAAACCCGATTGCCGGATTGATAATGTGTCAAAGGGGAGACAAAATTATCAATATATAAAGATAATTATTACACAAACAGAAAGATTGGCGACCGATTATCGGTGTTTCTTGGGTCTATTACCTCATTAAGGGTACTGCAATCATGTACTTGAAACTTTTTTATCTCTTAGAGATCAGTAAATAATGCAGGTCACGATAATTGCAGTGAGCCGATCCGCGAAGCAAGCACGAGGATGAAAGCGATTGCGTTGTTCCTGACGGCTACGTGCCTGGTTCAGGTATCTATCTCACGCTCGCGAATACCTGCCCGCCGCCAACACACCGCCGACAATGCCTACCTGATTAAGCAGAAGAACATCTACGAGCTATTCTGGCACATCGACCAACCCACCGTCTATCACCCGGAGCTCTACCAAAAGGCGCAATCCTTCAACTTCCAAGACAACCTCGCTTCGTTCAACAATCAGGTATATTGGATGCAGTAGTTGATCAGAGCCATATATATTTAAAAAAATAATGAAACTATGAAAATATATTTTGTACATTATTAATGATTGTTAATTAAGAATGCAGCAAACACCAGTAACATATATAACAGTTATATAACAGTCATATAACATGTAACAGTTATATAACTGTTATATTGGTGAGTGTGAAATTACAACTAACAGTTATATAAGTGTTACTTGGTGTTTGCTGGGAAGACAGTAGAGAAGATAGATTTTTATAACAAAATTTATAACATTTTACCTATTTGTATCGAACGAGAAGCTGTTGAAACCCCAGAATAATTCGTTGCAATCCTGCTTTAACAAGTTTATAATTTTTTCGATTGTCCGGTTGTTCTAGGCAGCGGTTACCGAGTTCCTACAGCGATTGGAATACGGAATAGTCCCGCGAGGAATACTGTTCTCCGGCGACCAACATTACCATGAAGCGATCAATCTGTTCTATGTCTTCCTCAGCGCCAAGGATTTTGAGACCCTTTATAATGTTGCCGTTTGGGCGCGTTTCAATGTGAATGAATACGTGTATATTTACGCGTTGATGGTTGCCGTCCTGCATCATCCCGACACCAGACGCATCCATCTACCCCCGCTTTACGAAATACTCCCCCATTACTTCTTCAACGAGGAAGTTATACATAAGGCCCATCACATCGCCTTGGGCAACAGGCAAAGTTAGTACACTAGTCAAACCGAATTATATTTATTTTATTCTTAAATTATTCCATTTTCTTACATCAGTTAATAATCTCGCTTCAAATTTCTCTAATATATTTAATTTATGCCCGAGAATTAAAGTTCTTCAGAAAAATGGCTTCATAAGAATTCTACCCTCTTTTTCCAAGATATTAATTATCAGTGTGCTAAAAATACAACGTCTTACTTCTTTAGATTAGAAGAATGCGAAAAGAAGACCACCCAGCAAACATCAAGTAACATTTATACAATTGTTAGTTATAATTTCCCATACTTGGTGTTTGCTGGATATCTATTTATGTTTAGGAATAAATATTTGTTTATACATTTCCTTTGTCTATAGTAGAACAAAGTCGCTCAGATCAACCGACCAATTGTAACAAGAACGCCATTACATTGAAATATTAATTGAGTTATTCAATTTCAGGTGCCGTGAATGAAACAGTCGGAAGTGTAAATTACTATTACATTCCTGCCAACTACAGCGACTGGTACATAGTGCACGACCATGGGGTTTCGGATTATCATAAATTAAGCTACTTCACCGAGGACGTCGGTTTGACTTCTTTCTATGTCGCAAGCATCCACGACTTCCCACACTGGCTAAGCAGCGATACACATAATTTGCTCCCGTTCTTCCGCGGCGAATGGTATTTGTACTTGCATCATCAGATTCTCGCTCGTTATAATCTGGAGAGACTGTCGAATAATCTCATCGACGTCGAGTACGTTGACATAAACAAGCCCGTCGTTCCTTATTATCCGAAGCTGCAACATCCCAATGGAGCGTCGTTCCCCCAACGTCCCGTTGGTTTCAAGATCCCTGTTAACATGCACGAGGATGTCCAGGTTGGTAATATGTCGAAACTAAGATGACCAAGAAACATCGAAAGGGTGTTCCAGAGATGGAGAATATCCTTTGGATGTTGTCTGGAAAGTTGTTTGGAAAATAGCTTTCGTTAATGGGGGCGTTGTTACTAATGATAATCGAATGGAATCATTATTTATTAATAAATTAAATCATTAATTATTATCTTTTTACGATTATTCGACACAGGCCCTGCAGGACGCCCATGTTCGCATTTCCGACGCCATTGCCAGCGGCCATATCGTTGACGCGAACGGCAATCCAATCGATATTTACAAGACCGTGGACGGTCTCAATCAACTCGGCAACATTATCCAAGGAAACGCCGATTCCGTCAATCCCGGGTACTATGGACAAATGGACTCATTGTACAGGAAAGTCTTTGGGGTAACCCCGGTACACCACACCACCTCGAACAACGTTATCCCTAGCGCTCTTGATATGTTGAGCACCTGTTTGAGAGATCCCCTGTTTTATAGGATACACAAGAATATTGTTAGCTACTGGACGAAGTAAGTTTAAGCAAACCCTATCCGATAAAATTGAGGAATTTTGCAAACCCAATCCGATACAATTGAGGAATTTTGGGATTAATTATTCAACATGTTGTCGTAGATACAAGCAACACTTGCCGAAATACACACACGAGGAACTCGTCTTCCCAGGCGTGCATGTCGAATCCGTCACCGTTGACCAACTGGTAACATTCTTCGATCACTTTGACTCGTTGATCAGCAACGCTGTGCCCGTGAGCAGCCACAAACAGGCGCAATCGACGATGATCAAAGCGCGTCAGAACCGTCTTAATCACAAGCCCTTCAGCTATCATGTCACAGTCCATAGCGACAAGTACGTCAAGGCGGTCGTTCGCGTTTTCATTGGACCCAAATATGACGTTTACGGCCGTGAAGTAGACATAAGCGAGAGCCATTATAACTTCTTTGAGATGGATCAGTGGGTCGTTGACCGTAAGTGTCAGATTATTTCTCAGCTCGCACCTTCTTTCTTTGTCGAATTTCTCTCTTCGAGCGAGATATATAAGATTATAACAGTTTCTCGATCATTAATCATGTTAATAACGTTACAGTGATACCTGGTCCCAACGAACTCAACCGCTGCAGCTACGAGTTTCTCTATGCCGCTCCAGATGAGGTCCCAAGCGATGTCCTGTACAGGAAGGTCGTGAAGGCTCTCGAGAATGACGAACTCTTCGCCTATTCAGAACAGCTTTATGGCTTCCCTGATCGTCTGCTAATTCCCAAAGGCAAGAAGAAGGGCTTGACGTTCAAACTCTTCGTGGCTGTGTCGAGTTTTAGCAAAACGCTTGGCTTATACATGGATTCCCCCGTCTGGGGTTCCAACGTATTGGACGATCGTTGGTTGGGATACCCACTTGATAGACCGATTCCTTTCAACTTCAGCAAAATACCCAATTTCTTCATGAAGGACGTCGTGATTACTCATAAGCAGGGGGATAAGTTGCATTGAACCAACGTGTAACAATAATGTTTTGCAATCGTCCCATTATGACGTCAGATTATACTCCTTATAACTTTATTTAGCACGCGCGATCGCGTTAGCTAAGAGAGAGATATATAGATAAGAGATATGGATACCTTGCCTTTAGCATTTTACGTGTAACACGTAAATTACATCTCCCAGAAGAAGAAATAAATTTTACAAAACACCCTCTCACATTTATCTCTGTCTTTCTGTGCTGTATCTTTTAATTTCAGTTGATCTTCTTTGATTTCTCTCTCGATTCTTCGATTTATTCGTAAAAGTACATTCCATTAAAAAATTGCGAAATTAAAAGCATATGTTTATCAACTATTTTCATCGTTGGATAATTAAAATAAACAGTCGAATAAGAAATAAGCTTTTTTAGTACGTAAGCAAAATCACGTGTCTTTTCCGATTGGAAAAGCCACATGATCTTTCTGATTAGAATTCTGATTAGAATTTGACATTGCTTTGAACAGAATCGACACAATTCGATGTTTGAAAATATTTTACGACGATGCAAATATGCGATTTATAAATGATTATATATGAAGTTTTTTAAATAGAGTCGCTGATGTTGTAATGTTACGATAAACAAGAATAAATATTTATTGCATATGTGGTTTATAATCGACATGTATTTATTTTTACCATGATAAAATCTTGAAATATGAAACATTAGATAAGATACTGTGGTAATATTTTCCAGTGAGATGTATAGTCGATAATAATTAATTCCTTAAATAGCTTTGGTATTTAAATGTCATCAAACTATTATTAATATTTACTGGATAATTAAATAAAAAATATTATAATATAAATTAAATATATTAAATATATTAAATAATTACATAAATTCAATTAAATTAATTAAATATATTAAATATATTAAATAATTAAATAAATTAAATTAAATAAATTAAATAAAAATTATTATATATTTATTATTAAAAAATTTTCTAATTAATTCTAAATGCACAGTGTACGTGTTGTATAAAAATATATTAACTGATCGAATAATTACTTTGAGAGTGAATGAAATTTGAAATTGATTTTCATATATAATGTGTTCTAATGAATTAATTAAGTAATGCATAATACCCTTCATTAACGCCGTCAAAGAGACAAGCGATTGTATCAAGTCATAACAACAGTCAAGTTGTTCAGATCACGGATCATGAGATGAGGACCTTTCGAGAGGATGATTAATAATTCCGCGAATACGCTCTCTCGGATACGGTCATCTCAGACAGCAGACTCAAATAAATCGCCATAGCGTATCTTTTATTTATTCGTCTAACAAGGAAAGGCATGGAAATGTCTGCCTCCGATTTTGATGAGCTTTTAATATGTTGTTTTCTAAACAAAAATAAGGGAAAACTTATTTTTTCGTATGCGTGTCTAGGGGGTAAAACATTCCTTTGAAAAAAATAGGTTTTTTTTTTCGAGACGTATATTTCTGAAACTATAAAAAATAGAAAAAAATTTTCAAATTAAAAGTTAAATAGCTTCAAGAAAATTTTACAACAATAACAAAAATAATTTTTTATTTTCTTAATTTGTCAAAATATCTCCATCACTAAATATATTTTTTTCTAATTTTGAAATTTCTTTATTATCAAATGAAATATTACTTTTTTACGAATCCAACCGTATATGATTAAGTTATGTTCGAAAAATCATTTTCCAAAATTAATTATAAACTTCTCTGTAATACGTTATTCGTGTCCGTCCATGTGTTCGACTTTTCACGTAACACATTCTGTTTTTCTAATGAAAGACAACAAATACTGTTTTTCTAATGAAAGATAACTAATACGGATACATTTTTTCTATGCAATCACGTTTTCTTCCCGTGCATAGCTAGAATAACATTGATATAACAAATTACATTTATATTTAATATGTAATAAGATATTAAACATAAATATAATTATAAATAAGCTATTTTATTTTTCTATGGCTTGTTGTTTGCAGAAAAACTTAAAAAAATTTAAAGTCAACGATTAATGATTATGAAAATGTTTAATTTATTACAAACTCCTGTTAGAAATAAAGAAACAGAAGTAATTCTGAATAAAGAAACAGAAGTAATTCTGTTTCTTTAATTCTAACAGGAGTTTGTAGTAAATTAAAAGGAGCGGCAATAAACAGAAATATTATAATGTTTCGCGAATTGAACTGCATTTTGTTATAAAAATATAATAAAATAGATAAATGTCAAAAATATAATTAGTAATTATGCTTAAAGAATGATAAATTTTATTTCATGCTTATTGTATTTATTTTTACCTTTTCTAAAATTTTTTCTTTTTTCTTTAAGAAATCCGCTCAATGAAACAGAATTATTAATTTCGTATAAACGTTAATTTTATATAAACATTTGTTGATAATAATTTGGTATAAACGTCTATTTTTTCCATAAAAGTTGTAAGTAGCAAAAAATTTCAATACTCTCAAAAAAAAAAAAAAATAAAAATTTATGTTATAATTGTAATTTTACACAGTTACAAAAGTAAGAAAATCGTAAGAAAAATTTAAATTAATACATTTTAAAAATATCACTAAATACTTTTCTTACAAGAGCACAGATAAGATTTAAATTTTTGAAAATTTTCAATTCTAATACAATATTTTTATGAATATTGTCTTGTCTTGGGTCTTGTGCAACCCTAGAGCCCGGCCAGCGCTATCCTCAGAGGATGGAGGATATACAGCCTTCAGCGGATCATCGAAAATCGGGCCGTCGACGAATTTCAAATTATGATATCGATACCGCGTTGTTGCGAGGCGCAAGGATCCCTCGCGTGTCGCGGCGTGATTGGTCACGAATTCGCGCACCCCTGAGCGCAGAAATTGACGCCGCTATCGATCCTGGATAGCGAGATCCAGGGACTCTCTCTGATACGGGCGCTCGTCGCATACAGTCGTCTTTGCATTGTCATCAGTGCAGTTTTCGGGAGAGTTGCCGCTATCAAGATCAGCGGCAACTCAAGAAGACGAAATCATCGACGAGGATCAACCCCGGACACGGGAGCGAATATCGGTGAGTTTGCTCATTCAGGTTTCGCTATTTTGTAAGCCACGTACGCGATTCTATCCGAAGACGGGCTCTGTCGCCGGCGCCATTTTGTCGCTCGGGCTTTGTACCACCGAGCTTTTGATTTTCGCGTATTTCGGGTGACCGGAGACGAGCGATCGCGGTATCAAGGACGATCGCCTTTATTTAACGATGACTTTTATTAACTAATATAATTAATAAGGTACGTTCGTCTCTTCTCCGGGATTCGGGGTGTCTTAACACGCGACCGGCTCTCGTATATCCGCCACGTGCGCGATAAATCGCGGAGAATCCCAGGTAGAAATGAAACTCATAATGACGTCAAAGTCATTTTAGAAAAATCATTATGATTTCATTTGACATACTTTTGGCAATGTTTTGGTAACTTATTTTTGATATTAAACAATTTTAGCGGTCTCTCTGTTGGAGAATATACAGGGTGAGTCATTTTAATCAATACACTCGAATATCTCGAAAACAGCACTCTTCAGAAAGAAATGTTTCAAACAAAAATTGTAGGGTGTGAAGGGGGACATAAGATGGTAGCATTGGTTTGACCTTGGAAAGTCATTTGAAGGTCACATAAAAGTCACCTTCAATTTCTTAAATTGAACCCACTATTTTTCATTACATATTCTTGTAGCTTATCTCGAGAGCTTTCCAAAACAGACAAATGTTTTTTCATTAAGTACTTTTTGAGTTATAAGGCTTCAAAGTTTGCAGTACTTCGATATAAAATGCAAAATATCTCGTAAAATATTTAGTTTTCGGTAGTCTTACCCTAATACTTTTATGCACAGGATAATGAGACAAAGCTATTGGTACAAAGAAAACGTATGATTGTTTATAACAAAAAGTGCATTGCAAATTACACATTTTTTATTATAAACAATCATACGTTTTCTTTGCACCAATAGTTTTGTCTCATTATCCTGTGCATAAAAGTATTAGGGTAAGACTACCGAAAACTAAATATTTTACGAGATATTTTGCATTTTATATCGAAGTACTGCAAACTTTGAAGCCTTATAACTCAAAAAGTACTTAATGAAAAAACATTTGTCTGTTTTGGAAAGCTCTCGAGATAAGCTACAAGAATATGTAATGAAAAATAGTGGGTTCAATTTAAGAAATTGAAGGTGACTTTTATGTGACCTTCAAATGACTTTCCAAGGTCAAACCAATGCTACCATCTTATGTCCCCCTTCACACCCTACAATTTTTGTTTGAAACATTTCTTTCTGAAGAGTGCTGTTTTCGAGATATTCGAGTGTATTGATTAAAATGACTCACCCTGTATATACTTCGCGTATGAAATCTTAAGAATCATAATAATATCATTTCTTATATATATTACGCAATTACTTGTTTATTTAATTATTCATGTATATTTTAATTATATTTGAGCAACATAATCTTTTGAAAATTATATGTATAATACGATTATTGAACTTAAAAATTTATTATTCTTTTTGTTATTTTTAACTCATTTTTTAACTCATTTCTGTTTGGGTAACTTTTGAATAAAATCATGGTGACCTCATGAGTTTCGTGTTTTACCTGGGCATATTATTGTCGATTATAATAGCCAAATATTACAGGGAAAAGGTTAATACGGTAAGTCGATGATTTGAGTGTTGAAATTCCGTTATGTTTTTGAAACATTGTTCGACCTCGCAGAACCCAGCCATAAAAACGGGCTCGGATATAAATACCTGAAATGACTTAGCGCTTTCTCGGATTATCGATTTTGTGCAAACATTCGACCGAACTGATTTGTGATTATTATCGCTGTCGATTGGATCTGTTATATTCATTTCGTTATTTCAAATTTCCGAACGTATTGTGAATATTCTTTCTTGCTTTGATTCGTTATTTACTTTATATTTATATTATTTTCTTTTTAGTAAACCTGTTATATTTTTCTTTATTAAGTTGTAATTTATTTGAGTGTTAGCCTTTCGGGACTGTTAAATTCCGTTATGTTTGTCGAATTTCGAAATTGTCTAAATCTCGCATAGTCAATCAACTTCTTCCAAGATCTCCTCTCGAACACTTCGAGGAGGAATATTATAAAAATTAAATTGAAAAAGACGTCGCAAAAGGTTAATCCACTTTTTGAATTTTTTAAAATTTTAGTGTCAAAGCACGTGATTGATTAATAAAAAATTCAAAAAGTGGAGTTAATCATTTTAGTCTGTGAATGGTTCAATTATATATTACTCACATATATATATTTATATTTTTTTTTCAGATTGTATTATATAATAAAAGGCATTAAATGGGACACATAACGCTTTGTAATGTTCTAGTATTTTTAATTATAGCGATCCATCTCACCTTTACATCAGTATAAT